CCCCCTTGCCCGCCCCCTCCTGCTGCCTCTCTGTGTGTCTCTGTGCCTCTCCAAGCTTCTTCCTCTCGGCTCATTGATATGCCTGATCATCAGAGGCATCGCTGAACTGGCTGATTGTCATTTTCAGCTGCGGTGCCACTGATGCATTCCATTTCCTCTCTGGGCTGTCTCTCAGAGTGATGAAGCACTCTCTGCAGTGACACTTGACAACAAGGATTTGGATTAACAGCCACCCTGGCTTATTGTTCCACCAGACAGAGGCATGTTTGTTTATAAAAAATGCATTATTTATCTGATCGTGGGGGGTGGAGAGTATTTTAGTGGTGGCTTTAAAGTTGTTTTCTAATAGGAGTGACCCTGACGCACAGCTTTTTGACCTACCAAAGGAGTGCAGCGTCGACGTGAAAGTCAGGTGGTGTCATTTGCAGTCCGAGGACAAACGCTCATCCTGAAAAAAAAAAAAACTTCTGCAGAATCAGCAGCGTTTTCACAGATTTCAACTTTGTTTTCAGCAACAGATAGAAAAGGACCTTTCAGTTTTTCAAAGCCAGGGTTCTGCTAATCAGCTTCAAATTAAGATAAAATTCAACACAAAGCATTCCTTGAAGAAATGCACCTGACATCTTATGTGACAGAATGACTTGCCATATTATTGTAAAAAGTCATATTTTGATGACTCGTAGCAGAGTGATGTGTACAAAATGACACTTCCTGTTTTTCTCGTTCGAACTTGTGTTAAAAATGATCACTTCTGGTGAAGGATGGGTAACAGGCTAACAACTGAATGTTGAATTTGGTTCCTTGTAATTTTAGTATCATTCTGTTTTGTTTGCATAAAACTGAACAGGAAAACTGCTGGTACTATAACATTTCTACCATGTTCATGAATCAGAACATTATTTTTTTTCTGTGTTGTTTTTGGTCAAAGCTACAAAAAGAGCCACTGCAGAGGCCCAGAGCTGCAGGTTGCGGACCCCCTGCTTTAGGCCAATTTCCTGACCTTTTCTGGCATTTCATATGTTTTCTGTGAGCCGTCTACTGAACGAAAGCGGCATCCCAAAAAATTGCTGGCGCTGGTTTCGGCCTGTTTTTTTTTTTATTATTATTAATGCAAACTCCTCCTAGGTGTTTTGTCTCTGCATTAAAATGAATAAACCTCAGCTGTGCTCACCAGCCTAAACAGAACAGTGGTGGGCAGTGCGGGGGCTTAATTAGGACAAAAGTCTGCATCGACTAAGGCTCGGTGTGGGAAAGACCCCGTGAAAAAAAAAAAAAAAGGATGTGAAGCAACCTGCTGAGCTCCAAACACTGTGTGGGCATTGTGTTGCAATTAATACATCACTGTACACACTGTAATCTAATATGCTGCCCCCCCCCCCCCCCCGGTCTGTGTGGGTGTACGTCG